TAATCTAGAGTTAATAACATAGTTTTTATAAACAATACCTCTGATGGTTAAGGTTGTGTGTCAGCTTGGCTGGGCCATGATTCTCAGTGGTTTGACAGTTATGATGTAGTTTGGCAGCTGTGTAATGATGTAATCACCTTCATAATGAGATCTGATATAATGGAATCACTTCCATGATGTGATCTGTTATGAGCAGTCAAACAGGTGAAAGGGAGTTTCCTTGGGGATGTAGCCTGCATCCAATACAGGTGGACTTTCTGGCAAGGCTTGTGGGCTTTTGCTCACTCTGGATCCTGCAGCTGGCTCCTGTTCATCTGGCCTCCAGTTCCTGGGACTTGAGCTAGCAGCTTACCTGCTCATCTTGGGATCTGTCATCCTTTGCAGCCTATGGGCCAGAGGCCTGCTGTCTGACCTGCTGATCTTGGGTTCGCCAGCCCCTGTAGCTACTTGAGTCAGAAGAAGTCTCCAGCCTGATCCACGGACTTGGGACTTTCCAGCCTATACAACTGCATAAGCCATTTCCTCGATCTAAATCTGTCTGTCTGTCTGTCTCTCTCTCTCTCTCTATATATATATATATATGCTTCACTGGTTTTACTTCTCTACAGAACCCAGCCTAAGACAATATCTAAAGTGCAAAATGTTTGTGTTGCATGAAATTTTAAATATATATGTTCACGGAACCTGGAAGCACAGAACCTGACACGCGGCAGCCGAGTGGAAGAGTGACTCCTACATGAGACACCTGCCCCAGAAGCTGGCAGAGCCCTGCAGGGCGTGGCTCCTGCTCTTCTGGCACCTGAATCCAGCTCTTGGCACTGACAGCAGAGTCACCAAACACTTTCCTCAGTTACTGGTCAACAGAGAGTCTTTGGCTCGACCAAGAATACGACTGCTCCTTTGTGTGGCTCACACGTCGCTTTGACAGCTGCCCCATGTAGACACTGCTGGGGCGCCCATCTGTCAATGCACTCTCGGGAGAGAGATGGGAGCTCAAGGATGGTAACCAGGATACACATGTACACATACACCACACACTAACACATACATGCAAAAACATACCATCAACTAGGGAAGTAACAGGTGTTGAATTCACATTTATCTTCACGTAAATCTCAGTAGGGCTGACGTATCGCCAACAGTGAGGAACTGACTATGCTGAGGAATACATGCCTGGGACAGCAAAGATGTTTCATTTGTTCTTTCTCCGTTACCCAGACCGGGAACTTCTTTCTCCTCTCACTTCCCATTCACAGCCGCCAAGTCCCGTGGAATCTTTTTCATTTACCTCTCATTCATTTAACAACTGTGGAGTATCTACTTTGTTCTACTTTGTAGTAAGTGAGGGAACAGTAAACAAGACTAATACAGGTCCTGCTCCCATGAGGCATATAGTCTTAGTAGGGCTATGGTAAGTAAAGAGGCAATTTCAGCACAGCCAGGTTCATGTGCTGGTAGGGCTAGTTCAGAGGTTGTGGGAGGTCAAAGAAGGAAGGATACCTAATTCAGACTTAGGGTGTCTGGTGAAAAAATAGCTAGGACTTGAATCAATCTCATTTCCTAACTCCATTGACACAGCCTAGGTTTAGGACCTTTTTTCTTGCCTGGACAATTGTCTCAGTCTTCCAATCGGTCTGTCTGCCTCTAATCTCACCTCTGATGGCAACCCTTACCCTCAAGATGAAAAGCAAACTTCACAAACTGGGGCCCTTTGTGATCTGGACTGCCATGTGTCTTTCACCAGGCTTCCACAGGCTCCCATATTTAAGACATACAGAACCACTCCCACGTCTGCTGAAACACCCTTTCCCTCGTTTTCCAAGACTAGATCAAGCTTTATCTCCTCTGGGAAGCCTTCCCTGATCTCCTAGCATGGGATAGGCACCTGTTACGATGTATATCTTAAAGCATTATAGACACAAAAAACAGTGTATGCTAATTAGTTTAGGCTTCAACTCAGGGATGGTAAGTGGCCCTAAGCATCCATATTTCAGGGGTGGCCAGCTACCATGAATTCCCTACTAACAGCCCTTTAGCCTATTCATGTTGACCGACACTGGAGCCTTTCCCCTTTAGCTCAATAAACATCAGAAGTGTTTTTACTGGTGAAACTAATGGCTTGTTAATCAGCATGGTGAATATTAGAAATGGACTCTCTCATTGATAAAATAAATGATATTCAAGTTAATGTGAATTGGACACCTAAAATGACAGAGAGCCGGGGACATTACCAAGTTTGCCAAACAGGATGTATGAGCCTGTTTCCATATGAATATTCATTTAATAAACGTCTGTGTGTACAGCAGAATTTACCCTCATTATAACCTGGTAACAAGGCTGTCGGGGAACAGTGAACCATTCCTCAGACTTCCTCATGGGTCTTTTGACCATGAAGAAAATAGATGTTGCACTAAATGACTCAGTCATTTCCAAACAGGGCCTCTCCTCTGAGCTCCTCTCACGGCGGGTAACTGGCAGTTTACCTGTCTGCCCGTCCTACCGAACGCTCAGGTCCTTGAGAACAAGGATTGCGTTTTTCCCCTCTGTAGTGCATTGCTTAGCTCAGCAGCCAGTCCACAGAGATTCTTGCTGAGTGAACAACAGCATGTAAGTTATATGATAATGTGAAAGGCCATCTGAATAGGAGCTGCAAGAGCTGCACTTTGATACCAGTGTCGAGGACAGCTGAGTACTTACTATGCGTCAGTAATTTGCGGAGTGTTTACTACGCGTCAAGCGCAGCACTCAGCACTTACACCCCGTGTCTCATGGAGTCCTCCAGAAGACTTTGAGAGGTAGCATCACACTTACGGAAGAGGAAACAGAGAGGCTAACCTACTCAAGGTCATTCAGACAAATAAGTAGAAGAGTCCATCTTTGAGCCCAAATATGGCTGAATCCAAAGCACTTGTTTTTAACCACTAATCTAGAAATGTATCACACAGCTAACAGTTAAAACCGAGGCAAAAACATTCCCCTCTGGATTCCAACTTCCTCATTTATTCACGGAGTGAGATGAAAAGCCCTGGGCTCCTTCCACTTCCTGATGTCACAGCGTGAGGGTTCTGAGTGGCGGCAGCAGCGCCTCCGTCTTGCCTGCCCCTGCTATTCTGACAGAGTGAAGCAAGGTTTCCACGTGCCGTACGCGGCTTTTCCGACAACACATTTTGTTTCTGTTCTTTTTTTTCCTTTTGAAAAAGTCTCAGGGGATCCTGAAGGAAGAGCAAAGAGACCCACTTCTGGCATGTTGCTTTGAGGCTAAGACCTGCTGTTAGGTAACAGAGCCAGCAAGTTGTTATTTTTGTTCTATGATCCTTTGCTGACATGGGTGTTGGGCAAAGAAAGAAAACCTACATCCACGGACACTTCAACTATCAGAGAAAGAGAAGTGTTAAAGAAAATGCAGCAAAGATGTCAATCTGCTTGCCGTGTTTCAGCTGCATGGCTGCAGCTGGGTAAATGAAAGGATTTCAGTGGTTCTCACTGAACATCTCAACATCAGCTTATCTGTGCCACAGAGTTACCGTAGGGACTGAAGTGGCACAGATAAGTGTTCTAATCAACCTGTATTTATTGAGGACCTTCTTAAGTGGAGTGCACTGAGATGTTAGTATCTCAGGCCAGTATTCTTTAGGCAGAGTTAACTGGGGGAAGAACACATTATTAAGAAAAACTATATAGCTTTCCTCCTTAGACTCTCTCTCATCTGCTATCCCTCACTGACAGCAGGATGCCATGCCTGGTACCAAACCAGAAAACCAAACCTACCGCTGACAAGTTGATTCCGACTCATAGCGACCCTAGAGGACAGAGGAGAACTGCCCCATAGGGTTTCCAAGGAGTGGCTGGTGGATTCGAACTGCCAACCTTCTGGTAAGCAGCCGAGCTCTTAACCACTGCGCCACCAGGGC